TGAGCACGCGGACCCCTCCCGTCTCCCCCACCCCCGCGGGAGTGAGCACGCAGACCCCTCCCCAGGCCCCGTCCCTTCCACCCCCGCGGGAGTGAGCACGCAGACCCCCCCAAGGCTGGGGTCTGGGGATGGGGTCCCTCCCACCCCCGCGGGAGTGAGCACGTGGACCCTCCCAAGTCCCTATCCCCCCCCCCAACGGGAGTGAGAACACGGACCCCTCCTGTCCCCCACCACAGGAATGAGCACGCGGGCCCCCCCAAGGTCCTGTCCCCCCCACCCCCGTGGGAGTGAGCACACGGACCCCCCCGAGGCCCCATCCCCCCCACCCTCGGGGGAGTGAGCACGTGGACCACCCCCAAGGCCTCGTCCCCCCACCCCCGCGGGAGTGAGCACGCGGACCCCTCCCCAGGGGCTTGCGGGAAACAGTATCTTTCCTCCCCGCTCCTGGCGTTCAGACTGCGGTGATGTTACTCACGTCTTGGGTTCGGGGCACTTCTCCCTTGCGTGTGATTTGGCTGTGATGTTCTTGCTCTTTTTCCTTTCTGTGAGTCTATGTTTGTGAATATTGTGGAAGCCGGCTCCGTTATGCTACAGGGGGACCTTCTTACGGGTCTCTGCATGGTGGCAGTTCGGCTCCCATGCCCCGTCGTTGTTAGTGCCGTCTGATGAGGGAGGACAGTTCGAAGCTGCAGCGGGTTTGTGGACACACAGCCTTGTTATTTAAGATGTGCTCAGCCCTTAGCACATGCACAGTGTGACTGCTCACGGGCTGGCTGTGCGTGTCCTGGATGATGTCCACTCCCTGCTTCTCTAAGCTTGTGCTGGAACTGTCTTTGCAGAGGTAGAGAATTCTAGCGGCTTTTGCCTGAGCGATGGGACATAAATACAGAAGGCAGGATTTGTGGTTTCTCAGGCAGAATTTGTTAGGAGGAGGGCACACGAGCATCGTCTAGACTGAAGGTTGGGGGTCCAGACTAGCCCTTCCTGCTGTGGTTCACCTCTGCCCCTGGATGCCGGGCAGTGGTAGGATGCGGAAACACAGCTCCATGTGGATGCTCCCGTGGTGACCGCAGGGGCGGGGACGCCGGCTGGCCTCAGCCCTGCCTTCTGCAGCTCTGTGCCTCCAGGCCCGTCGCCTGCCCCTGGTCCCCGTGGACCACAGCGTTCCTACCTGTCAGACGCGGTGACGGTCCTGCGTGAGGACCGCACAGCCCGATGTGCGGTGAGCACGTAACCCACCACCCTGCCCAGTGGTTGTGGCAGCCGCCTTCTCTGCTGCCATTCGTGTTTCTCCTTGACGTCACTGTGTGGGGACCGCTGTGACGGGCCTTGTTGGTGTTGTCACCCATGGCTCACCCTTCCTCTGGACCTGCAGTTTCTGAGTCTCTTGCAGCCACTTCCTAGAGCCAGTCCTGTCTCCTGCCAGACGCACACGCTCCTCTCTGGCGTCTTCTGTATGGCAAATGGTGCTCTTGGTTCCCAGTGTGGAGCAGGGAGCAAGCTCGTGACGGGCCCAGGCCTGTTGTGTCCCCACGTCCAGCGTGGCGGGGTGCGGGTTCCTCTCCTGCTAGCATTTGGCAGTCACCCCATATGTTGCTTGCAGAGTGTCATGAACATGATGCACGTGATCAGCATCCCATACTCGCTGATGAAGGTGAACCCCCTCTCCTGGATTCAGAAGGTCTGCCAGTACAAAGGTACGTCTCCAGGGCCCTCAGGTGTGTGGTTCCCTCTTTTTTAATATCTCACGGCCTGATGGTGTGCTTATTAACGCCCTGCTCTCCACTGTTCCTGCAGCAAAAGTGGCTTGTGTGAAATCCAGGGACATGCACTGGGCGCTAGTTGCACATAGAGATCAGAGAGACATCAACCTCTCTTCCCTCCGGATGCTGATCGTGGCCGACGGTGCAAATCCCTGTAAGTGACCCACCTGTTCCACCTGGAGGTGCAGCCGGCAGCCAGAGAGCCTCGTTCTCCACATCCCATTTCTGCACTTTGCTTTTCCTTTTCTAGTCGTTGCCTTGGTTAGGAAGCTGCCTTAAGTTAATGACCTCCCATTGTGACTCACCGAAACCTCGAGGCACCACAGTCGGTGGCGGGGAGCCAGGAGCCCGCAGGCCCGCCGCCCTGGGCTCGAGGCCCGGTGTTTCCACATCCTGATTCCATAGAGAAAAATCCTAACTTTCTGGTTTTAATCCTTCTCTTTCTTTAGCTGCAAAATGGTACCTAAATCATAAGATTTTATGAGAATTAAATGAAGTGGTTTCTCTATCTTGGGATGTTTTGTGCTCAGGAAATAGTAACTTATTACTTTATGATCTATAGTAATTTTATTGATCAGGGAAGTAATATGTCATTTTAATGGAATTTCGTTATCAAATCCTATAGGAAACACCACCCAGGTAAAGCAAATTAGCAGTCCCATAGAATGCCATTAACCTACCTTGAGAAATACCTCTCTGGGTTGAAACAAAACGCAGCTAGCTTGTTTTTGATGAGAGTGAGTGAGCCAGAAGCAGAGTGAGTGAAGGAGAGCGTGTGTTTCTGTCCATCTGTAAACGGTGCCACATGTACATTCGTAAATTAAAGCAGCACATACTTTCTCAAAGAAAATCTGATATGCAAACAGGGGCTTGCAATCAGAGGATTTAGTATTACTTGTATACATGATTCTTGCATTTCCCAGAGAACTCCATGAATTGCAAGCTGCTTTAAGGCATCTGGTTTGAGGGCACCTGGGTGGCTCAGTCGTTAAGCGTCTGCCTTCGGCTCAGGTCATGATCCCAGGGTCCTGGGATCGAGCCCCACATCGGGCTCCTTGCTTGGCAGGAAGCCTGCTTCTCCCTCTCCCACTCCCCCTGCTTGTGTTCCTGCTCTCGCTATCTCTCTCTCTGTCAAATAAATAAATAAAAAATTAAAAAAAAAAAAAAGGCATCTGGTTTGAGCCATCTGTCTGCTGAAGCCAGGCTGACCTGTGTTAGGAAGCCCACGGGTGGGCGCCTGGTGGTGACTCCCCCGATCTCACCAGGTGCGCTGATACAGGAGAGAGTTTTCTTCACTTAGTTTAGACCTACTCATCTCAGAGACATGCATATGGAACATGGCGGAGCAGGCCTGGGGGAAGGCTCACAAGCTCATCAGCCACAGAAACGTTTAAATACAGAGGTTACACTTGTAATCCTTGAGTTCTGTTGGCCTGAAAGAATCACCTCTCATGGTAACGTGAGCAGTTAGCGGTACTGAATGGAGCGTGTTTCCGCGCGGCCGGCCTCAGCCCCACCTGAGAGGCGTGGGAGTGGTGGGGTGGCTGCGGTCGACCCTGCGCTTCTGCAGGCTGACTGTCACCCCTTCCTCCTGCAGGGTCCATCTCGTCCTGTGACGCATTTCTCAACGTCTTCCAGAGTAAAGGCCTGCGTCAGGAGGTCATCTGTCCATGCGCCAGCTCCCCAGAGGCTCTCACCGTGGCCATACGGAGGTACAGCCGGGCCCTGCAGGGCCGGCCCGGGTGGGGGCTGCCTGCCGCAGCTCACGTCTGCGGGGCGGGGAGGGCAGGACCCAGCCTGTTCGGGACCAGCTTCGTTTCCTTGCATGCGCAGGAATGGGCCCTTCAGCATGGTCCTCATTCGCTAGTCAGAAACCCTCTCTCCCTCTGGGCAGTGACCCTGTCTCCCAAGTAAGTGGACGCCCATGTGCTCGTCACCCACATGTCCACGTGCTACCGTCTGGGTCAGGCGTTATTCTGGGGCGGGTTGGGTGAATGCTGTCTGGTTTGAGTGCAGTGTTTGCAGCCGGGCCTGTGGACGTGCCCAGTGCGCCACGACACCCTGAATTTTTAAAAACCCTGGTTTTCTGAGCTGTTGAGCTGTGGATGGCCCATCGCAGGGCTCCAGTGTGCACGTGGGTGTGGGCCTGCATCGCTCATGCCCTCGGTCGTGGGTCAGTCCGCCTTCACCACCTGCCCCAGCGCCACGCGCACTGTTACAGGTGCCGTGGCTACGGCCGCGTGAAGCTGGTCCCACCCAGGCTGAGAGGTGCAGGAAAAGCCTCTCTGATCGTCACCCGCCGTCCGCCATCCTCACAACGTGGGAAGGGAGCATTGGCATCATCTGGGTACTTCCAGCTCGGGATCTGACTTGTTTTTCGGTATCTGGGCGTCCGTCCGCTCATGAGGTTTTGCTCTGCGTCACACGAGCGTGCTCCACTGTAAGGGGCGCACAGCACGTGGAGTTCCGCCCTCTTACTGACAGGCTGGGCTTCCCAGAAGTACTCACTGGGAGACTGTTTGTAAATGAGATGCTTTCTCACAGTTTTAGCTGATAGTTAGTGTAAAATTAGCCAGACTGTCTAACGGGCTAGGAAATCAAAAACCTTTAGCATATCAGGAGCAAGTTTAATTTTGATTGAACCAGAAATCAGAAGTCCGTAACAATGTAAACTGATGAGGAAAAACAGCACCATGAACCACCTTTGTTAGAAGGTGTCACGGCTGTCCTAGCAGGAGGCGCCCCCCAAACAGTCCCCCAAGTGGAAGTCTGGCCTCGGACAGAGCGCTGGAGGCCGCGCTGGTGGACGGGCCAGCACCGCGTTCTTCCAAGATCAGGATTCAGCCGTCCGGGTGCAGCCCGGCCACGGGGTCCCGGGCGGGTCCTCTCTCCGTGGCCTCCGCGGCCTCCCACCTGAAAGCGTTAGGGTTGTGCCACGGTGTGACGTAGCGCCTTTGCCACAGGTAAGTCACAAGGTGAGGGACTGAGACACGTGGACACTCCAGCTGTTAGCGTCCGATGGTGTGATCGTGTGCTCTTTCTAGAAATCTGTTTTCCGTGCATTAGGGTTATGGACTATGCCAGAGTTGCTTGGCACAGGGAGGAGTCAGTGAAGGACTTGTAGTTGTTTCTCTAAAAATGTAAAATCGTTAAAATCTTCAAGAAGATTAAGAAACAGGCAAATTAAGTGCTGCTATTTCCTGGGCTCATGTTCAGTGGCCTCCAGTGCACTTCCCCTGGGGTCAGAGGCCGCACACGTCCCCGCGCGTCACCATGCTTCCCATGCATCCCTGCGTGTCCCCATGTGTCCCCATGCTCCTCACGCATCCCTGTGCATTCTCATGCTCCCCACACATCCCCATGTGTCCTCATGCATTCCCGCGCGTCCCCATGCTTCCCACGCATCCCTGCCTGTCCCCATGTGTCCCCATGCTCCTCACACATTCCTGCACATCCTCATGCTCCCCGCGTGTCCCCATGTGTCCTCATGCTCCCTGCACATCCCCATGTGTCCCCATGCTTGCTGCACATCCCCACATGTCCCCATGCTATGCACACATCCCTGTATATCCCTACATGTCCCCATGTATCCTTATGCTCCCTACTGTCTCCATGGTCCTCACACTCCCTGCATGTCCCCACACGTCCCCACACAACCCCTGCACAGACCTGCCTTGGCTGAGTGCACCATTATCGGGCTGGAAGGGGTGGATTCAGAGTCCCTCGACCTTCACTGCCGGAGCCGGTGGACATTGCTGCTCCTGCGTGTGAGGCTGCGGACTGGCCGGCTCCCGCTCTGAGCAGGGGAGAGAGCAGCCGTACTTGCAGAGACACGAGTCCACCAGCCAGCCTTGCTTTGAACCGAGTTGGCTTCTCTCACAGCCGACCACGGTCTGGCGGCCACTCTCACATCCTCAAGGTCTCGTCTGCTATTTCCCAATTAGCCAGTAGAAGAGCAAGGAGCCAGGACAGGGCAGTGGATACCAGTGAGCTCAGAGAGAGGCTTACTCTTTCCTCAAACACCGTTGATTGACAGGCAGAGTGATTTCGTGTCCGTCACCCCTACAGTGAAAAATACCATACAACCGAAAGGTGCATCAGTAACACGAAGAAACTCTCAGTTTCCCTAACATGTAGTCTGTAATCCTTGCTTATATTCTGGTTTACAGACTTTGATATAAAGTGGTCTTTGCCTGGTGGCTCACCCTGAGCTTTTTTCTAAATGAAGACACAGTCTTCTCCCAGAGAATCCTAGGCTCGTCGGCCACCTTCCGGGTCTCTCCGCAGACCCACCACTCCTTCAGTGCTCAAGAATCACAGGAATGTGCGTTAACTGCTCATGGCTGCATGTCTGGAAGGAGAAGTGAGAGACTCACGTTACTGGGACCCACTTACCACGGGCAGAGCCCCGTTCCCGCCTCACGCGGGTCAGTGGTGGGTCGAGTGTTGGCCTCTGGCGGGTGCGGCAGAGTTGCTCCAGAGGAACAGCTGAGCCTGACATCGTCTGCGCCGTCCTGTCCTTGCCGAAGCCGTGAGGGTTTAAATGTGTCTGTTCGTTTTGCCGTGAACTTTCCGGGCTGCCTATTTCAGAATAAAGACACGAGCCCTATGCTGGGGAATGGCCCCATGGGGATGGCCCAGTGCGTCCTGAGGACTCTCGACGACGGTCCGCTGGCCCTGGGCCTCACGGTCACTCCTGGTGACAGTGAAGTGTGACCCCTTCCGCTTTGCTGCTACGTAAAGCAAGGGGCCATAAGATCCACAGGGGGAAAGGTCTAGTTTTAATGCTAAGATATTTATGTTTCCCTATTGACGTATTGGTTGTAGCCAAAAAAAGATAATTTTGGAAAAGATCCTTGTAAGAAATCGAGGGTCTTTATACATTATGGTTTCATCCCTTCGAAGCGCTCACAAGCACGTGTCTCTGCACTGTTCGCACTGTCCTTCTTGGTTTCACATCCATCTGTGCCTGTGACCAAAATCGAAGTAGAAGGATATTCTAGAAATCTAGACTAAAATCCCCACGGAGACACCTGAAGTGAAGAAGCAGAAGAAGCAGGCTGCAGGTAGCATTGAAAGTCATGCTGCAGTTCTTAAAACCAGTGCTTTTGGACAGTGCCTTGTGTGTCTTGGCTGAGTGACTTCATGTCCTGGAGACGTCCTGGGTCCTGGGGAAATGCGGCCTCTGATTGCACGCTCCCGCCCGGAGCAGATCTGGGGAACAGCGCCCTGCTCAGTCCTGTGCACGCGGGCGAGCAATCGTGCTGTGTGGGCCGAAGCCGCCGGCAGGCCCCTTGTGCTGAGAAGCTGCATGGTGGTGCTCCGGTGAGACTTGGCATCACAGACTGCGTCCTCATCCCTGGGAGAGAATCTGTGGGTCCCGTGGACACGGTTCAGGCTGCGCTGCAAGACCAGGCAGCTGGTGGGTGTCCACCAGATGCGTGCTGGGGTGTCACACCCCTTGCGTTGTCTGCCTAGAGTGGTATAGATTCAGGAGATTTCTTTTAAAAAGTGTCATCGTGATTTCAAGGCCACCTTATGCAGCAAAGAGGCAGGTCTCTACAGTGACTGACTCTCTGCTGTGTCCCCATGGACCAATTATCCTCTGAGACCCTCAATTTCTCCACCCACAGAGGAAGAAAATATGAACTGGTGTGTGTGCTAACACGTATGCACACACCCCCAGTCCCCGATGAGAACACACGTGTCTGCTAACATGTATGCACACACACACACACACACACCCGGTCCCCCTGCCCTGGTCGTCAGCCCTTGGCCCAGCAGCTTGCAGTCTGGGCCCTCACCCCCCGCCCACCACCCCCACCGCAGGCTGCGTAGCTTCTCCCTGTCCACAAAAACTTAGGTTAGATCCAGAACTGTGCAGAGACTGGACACTGGTTTCCATCTCTTAGATTTTGGCCATTGTCTTGGCAACTCAGTTCTCCTTTCACGTGGGAAGGAGGGTGGCAGGTGGAATGCACACAGATTTCAGTGCAAGCATCCTCCTCCAGCAATGTCTGCTCCCACTTTCCTTCAGAGAAGCTGTGTAAGCAGTCTGAACCTCCGGCTCCCCCACCTCCCTGCCACCCGGCCCCCTCGGTGGCAGCTCGGCTGCAGGAGTGCATGCTGCTCCCAGGTCTGGCCGCGCTCCATCCCTCCCTCCGCGCCACCCGGCCCGGCCTCCTTGCTGTTCCCCTACCGGCAGGCCCAGGAGCTTGTGCTGGAGCCGTGTGGCCTGCCCGCCTAGCCCGCCTTTGCTGGCGTCCCAACCGTGGTCCTCCGGGCTTGTCACCCTCCCCTCCTCTTCCCTTCACATTCTCCACCTCCCCACGTGCCATGGGACTTACGGGTGTCTTCATTGTTCAGTCTGTCCCGGCCTCGTAGATACTTTTTGAATAAACGAGTGAAAGAAGGATTTTCAGTATGTGAAGGACCTGCGCACACGCTTGCCTCTGAGCACCTTGCAGACTCTCCAGAAGCAGTGCTGAGAAGCGCCAGAGCTTTTCACAGGCGTCCTGGTGAGACCAGCTCATGCACATGTGCAGGCGGGTCTCTAGCTCGTGTTTGGCCGAGTGGAGTCGTGTGTTCTCCTCTGTCTGCGTGTTTGCCTTTCTCACGACGATCCAGGTGCAGCTCTGAGCCTAGAGTTTTGTGTCATATTCTGGTCTCCTGATTCAGTAGCAGCAGGAGGGCCGTGTCCTTACCGCCACCT